AATTTGAAAGCCTGAAATTGTAACAGTTCTTACTTAAAAGCTCTTTGAATAGTTCAGCCTCAAATGCTTCTGCTGCATAATTCAGTTTTTATTTTATTTTTATTTTTTCTAAATTAACGTATCAAACTTTGCTTTATTATTAAGGTAGTATGAACACGCAATGAAGACAAAGAATATTCCGGCCGTATGTGCATCGTTGATCATGGCATTTTCAATTTAACTTCGTTTGAATAAATTATAGGTATACCTCGGTTTATGTCGTTTCGAGTTAAGTCATTCTCAATTATACGTCAAAAAATTTATATATATATATATGGAAAAATAAAAATCAAGTTTGTCATTTTATTCGACTTTACGTCTGTCCGCCATAAATATTGAAGTTGTAATTTCACTAGAAAAGCGTTAAAAGCCCATAAAATCATTTTACTGTACAATAAATACGAATAAAAATATATAAAATCATATTAAAAAACGTATATTTACAGTAAATATTAATATAAACATCATAAATCCTAGAGAACGAAATATGAACATATCTGTGACTGTTGTCATCTTATTTAGCGGTCTTTAAGAGCTCAGTATTGGCGTTTACCACGGTAGATGGATTGATAGGTTGAATCATCAGTGTGCTTCTATTGGTCAAGAAATCATTCAAGCGAAAGCATTGACTTTGTTTGAGCACCTGAACAAAAAATACAGGTGAGAAAGATGTAGTGGTTAAAGCTAGTCAAGGCTGGTTTATGAGATTTAAAGAACGGAGAAGTTATCACTATTAAGAAGCAAGATTAAAGTGCATCAGCTGACAAACAAGCAGTAGCCGATTTTCCTAAAGCATTGACTAAGATCATCGAAGAAAACGGGTTTCTTCCTGAACAGTTTTTAACGTTGACGAAACTCGATTATATTGGAAAAATTGCCAGACCGTTCTTTCATTGCTAATGTTAAGCATAAGGCTATATTGCTGATAAATTACTTTATTCAGAATACTGTATGTACATATCATAAGTGCCGTAATATGCAAGGGGGAGTGCTTATTTGCGGTTTATAGTATGGTTATTTCGACTTAAGTCGTTTTTCGATCTAAGTCGTGACCTCTGGAACCAATTAACGACGTAAGGGAAGGTATACCTGTATTATTCATTTTTATTAAAATTACATTTTCCAGGTCAAAATTGTGATCACGAAGGGGATCTTTTCTATTAATTAACCCCAAAATAAAAAGAATTTACTAAAATTCACACCAAATTTTCCCATAGCGAGGCCTTTCCATTGCACTCCATTTGGGCTGATTTTTGCGATCGCAGAAAATGTGGGCGACTTGGTTGCGACATTTCTAGGTGTGGGGTCTGCATTTATGCCCATCCCGATAAACAAGCCACAAACAGATTTTTTTTAAAAATATGTTTTAAATTCCTTTTAAGTATCTCGAATATCATCCGCACTTAAGAAATGTGAATAACTCCCTGATTTTTGGTAATTTTTCATTCTGATAATTGGAGAGTTGTTGCGAGGCAAGCCAAAGAAATTTTAATTTTAAAATTTATAATTTCAAAAGAGCGCCAAAAATTTAATAAAATAAAAACTTTGATTTAAAATTTTTAATTTCTTGGGGTGAAGTAATATTTGCGATACGTAACTTTACATTATTTGAGGGGAATTAACAGAAAAAAAAAATTCGAAGATTTCAGTGACCTATAATTACATGGATCATGTATCATTTTAAGTCTTTTTTGCGGGGGTCGTATATTCTTTTCCTTAAATTTCGGGTTAGTTCGTGGATGTATTTAGAGGAACGTTATATTTGGGAGAATTCTGCTTCTGATGTAAAATTAAATGTTTTACGTTAATGAAATTTGCAACTGTTTTTAAGTGTTTGTGATAATATTATATAAAGAATAAGTAAATTTCTTTCAAGTTCATTAACTTTGTAGGTAAAATGACTTGTAGGTAAGTCGTTTATACTTCCTTCCCTTTTGCTAGTTTTGTGGATTCTGTACACTTTTCTTTTCCCATTGTATAAACCGCATATACTCATGTATAAACCGACTTCATGTGTTGTACAACACCTGAGATTTTGCAAGAATTTTAACCCCCTCTCAAAAAGATTTACCTGTAATTAGTGCAACCTGCATTATTTTTAACGTGGCTCAGTGGATCAAGGCGTTGGTTGCATCGATTGACTTGAGCCAAGGAGTTGTGAGTTCAATGCTTGGAGAATTGAGTTAAAGGAAGATAACTGAGACATCCTGACGAGGCATGGTACTTGAAACCGGAACAATCTACCCTAGTGGACGAAATAAAGGGTTTAGTTCGATTTTCCAGTCCCCGAAGGAGGCAGGAGCGTACAACGGTCGAAACGTCGTGAATATGACAATAAACATGAGGACAGCAGTCTGAACAACCTAAATAATTACAATACCTCATCTCAGAAGTATAGGCAGATATTTCTAACCTTTTCAAAAGATTACATGTGTATACTACGACTTATTTTTTGCGGAAAAAAAACTGATAATAAAAACTTGGATTAAAATCAAATATATGGCAAAATAACAGAATAATGGAAGATTATATATATATATATATATATATATATATATATATATATATAAGCTTAACCTTTTAACCAACTAAGCCATAACACTGATAATGTTAGATACGTTCTTTTAGTGTCTTCATTTAAATGCCAATCCGGTTAAAATACATTTTAAAATACATTTTAAAAATAAATTTACACATTATAGGAATTTAAGCATTTCCAATGAATACAATTTCGACAAAAAGCAATCTACAAACCCGCCACAACCCTAATCGTAGCAAACAATTTTCCAGTCCCTGAAGGAGGCTGGAGCCTATTAGATATCATCAGTAATATTATACATATACAGACCCGCCCAAAACAATTTTTACACAAAAGTCCAACTTCATGTCTGCGACCCGGGAATTTCGTTCACAATGCCATTCCCAACAATTTTTCTCGTCAGAATCCATTTTGTATGTTTATAATTCTGCCATTGAATATTGCTGTCACATCTAGTCTGGTGCTTCTGTTATGTCTCTAGTGATTATAAACAAAATTCAACGAAGAATCTGCAATGTTATCGGTCCTGATCTGTTATCTCAGCTTCAGTTACTTTATTACCGCCGTAAGGTAGCTTCCTTGTGCTGTTTTTAATAAATATTTTTATGGTAATTATTCAGATGAGCTTTCTCCTTTGGTACCATGACATTACGAATTTAATCGCAGTACTAGATTGGCGGCAAGGTCTCATCATTTTACAGTTGAAGTGGTTAGATGTAACTTATAAGTTCTATGCTAACAGTCTCTTTTCTCGTACATATCGCTTGTGGAACTTTCTACAGGTTTCTTGCTTTCCAGTTAAATTTGATCCTCAAAAAGTTTAAATGCTTTGTCAAACATCACCTTCGTTCATTTATTGTTTTCTCTCCTTAAGAATGTTCTTTTCTCAGATTCTTCCTCATTCAGTAACCACTTGTGGTTCAGTGGTTTTATCAACATACTTGGGTGAAATGATTAAATAAAAATATATAGATTCAAACAATAAATGATTATTAATTATTTAAGTTTCCGAAAGTTTTTCCTCCTTAGTATTGTAGAGGCATTCTTGTGGCAGCTTTGCCTTGGCTTCTCCTTATCTATCTATCTATCTATCTATCTATCTATCTATCTATCTATCTATCTCGGTCTTTTCAAAATACATTTTAGTTTTTTCATTATCTATCTATCTATCTATCTATCTATCTATCTATCTATTACAATATGTTCATTATCTATCTATCTATTACAATATGTTCATTATCTATCTATCTATCTATCTATCTATCTATCTATCTATCTATCTATCTATCTATCTATCTATTACAATATGTGCATTATCTATCTATCTATCCATCTATCTATCTATCTATCTATCCATCCATCTATCTATCTATCTATCCATCTATCTATCTATCCATCCATCTATCCATCTATTACAATATGTTCCCCATCCATCCATCTATCCATCCATCTATTATCATCTATGTTCATTATCCATCTATCCATCCATCTATTTATCCATCCATCCATCCTATCTATCTATCTATTACAATATGTTCATTATCTATCTATCTATCTATCTATCTATCTATCTATCTATCTATCTATCTATCTATTACAATATGTGCATTATCTATCTATCTATCTATCTATCTATCTATCTATCTATTTATCTATCTATCTATCTATCTATCTATCTATCTATCTATCTATTACAATATGTTCATTATCTATCTATCTATTACAATATGTTCGTTTATCTATCTATCTATCTATCTATCTATATCTATCTATCTCTATCTATCTATCTATCTATCTATCTATTACAATATGTGCATTATCTATCTATCTATCTATCTATCTATCTATCTATAACAATATGTGCATTATCTATCTATCTATCTATCTATCTATCTATCTATCTATCTCAGCGTTATCGAGCCAGTTAATTACAATAGAGTTTCATAGAGAAACCTATTATCATTGCTATAACATTTTGGCGCATTCCTACAATTCCCATGCAAATAAAAATACGCTTTTTGTAAGAAATCAGCGTGAGTGATTTGTGAGAATAAAACTTCTTTCTTTGAGAAGAATTCTATAGAACATATTCTAAAGGAATATTGATACTTTCGCTTGCGTTCTACCATTGTTATTGCGTGATGGTAACAGAATGGTCGTATGTAGCTGCACGGAACAGCTTCCCTAAATAATTCTGGAGAAAAACGACAATTTCGGTAAGTGTCTTGAAATCTGACAGTTTCTCACGCTCTGAAAATGTTTCGAAGAAAGAATGTTTTCCTAGTTGATAAGTTAATACTAAACGTCTCTTTCGCAAAGCTGACTTTCAAGACAAAACAAGGAACTAATATTTTGTCGAAATTTGTTTTTTCCTTTAAATTTGTTTTTCGCCTTTGTTTCTATCAGTCTATTCTCTGGAGGCTTACGTCCACATCATGACGAAAAACCGGTTTCCGTATGATCACCGAAGTTAAGCTAAGTCAAGCCTGGTCAGTATCTAGATGGGTTACTGCTTGAGAATATCATGTATTGTAAGCTTGTATGTGCGGGTGGTGTAATGGATAAGAGCACGGAATTGTTAATCGGAGAGCCGAGTTCTAATTCCAGTTGTGTTCATTATATTCACTTACGCGCAAGTACTCTTGGGAAAGGTGTGAATTCGTATATTCTTCCTCACAGCTATTGGTCAATTAGTAATATTTGTATCACAAAAGCATTATGATCTCCCCACCTCAAATTCATATAATTTAAAAAATATTTTCTGGACTTAAATAACCTGCAACGTGTTGATAAGTCGTGGAAAACGAAACAAATTCAATCAAATTACTGATAATCAAAAGATATCAATCCTATAGTCCGAGTACCTCTTTTAATCCGTCCATTTTTTTTATTAACACGTTTTATTTCCATTTACTGTTTGTGTTTCTATCAATCCGTTCTACAAGTCCTATAGACCGGGTACCTCTTTTAATCCGACCAATATTTAATCAAAGCATTTTATTCCAATTTACTACTATCTATCTATCTATCTATCTATCTATCTATCTATCTATCTATCTATCTATGTGTTATGGTCCGGTTCCTTGTACCACGGTGATAGTCCAAGGTAGAACCAATAAAGAAGAACTCGAACACGTATATGGAACAACACAGATATATTACAAACAGGAATATATATACAGAGAAGTAGAAAGTGTTAGTACGAACAATCAGGTTTAGTAGTAATTGTCTGAACGCGACTCTGTTTCGGACTGACTCTGACTCGATTGACTGACTCCTGACGGACTTCACTCCAGACTTCAGATTGAACAGTATTTAGTCACCCCCCCCCCCACGAGGGTATCATGTGGCACAAGGCCGGTTCAACGTGGGATCTCCGAGCCCGTGGGCTCGGCCAAAAATATGCCCTTTGATCCCGTATAAACGGGTTCAGGGTCGGTTTACTTCCCCGAAAGAGACTCCACCCTTCGGCGTAGCCTCGTTCGAGTTCCTCCCGCCCGAAGGCAGAGAGTTCAACCGATCAGCCGGTCAGCCGGTCAGCCGGTCGCCCGACTTCAGACTAAACTCTGTTCTTCCTCTTGAGGCGCAGTATTTATTACGTATGAAATAGTCCATTATATTATTATGGGTAAGGTCCCATAACACTATGTCTGTTCATTATCTATCTATCTATCTATCTATCTATCTATCTATCTATCTATCTATTGCATTTATATATACTTAAACTTTTTGAATTTAAGCGCAGTACTAGACTGGCGTCGAGATTTCATCAATTTCAGTTGAGCTGGTTAGATGTAGCCATAAGTTCTATAATAACAGTTTCTTTTCTCGCACTTCTCGCTTGTTGAACTCCCTTCCAGCTCCTTGCTTTCCAACCAACTTAAATCTACAAAAATTTAAATGCAATGTCAACCACTATCTACTGTCCTCCTGATTACTCTTTTCTCTTCCCGCTCACTATTAATGTTACAGTTCCCAATTCTTCTCCACCTTGTCACCTTTTGAGCCTTGGTGATCCCGATAACAAAAAAACAAAAAATAAAAACCAAACTATTCTACCGTCACAATTCTTGTAGTCTGCCACATTTTTAATCCAACTTACATTTGCTGAAAATATTTTATTCACATCTATTACTTGGTTGATTTCTATCAATCCATAGTGTATAAAGGTTGGGCACCTCGACGTGGTGTAATGTTTAGTTAAATCTAAGCTACGCCAAGAAAATCGCCATAGTGTATAAAGGTTGGGCACCTCGACGTGGTGTAATGTTTAGTTAAATCTAAGCTACGCCTAGAACATCGCCATTGTGTATAAACGGACATGATACGTATTTGATGAATTGATCAGAATTTCATAATAAACATGCGAGCTGTACCCCAGAAATGAATCTGCTAAACTAAAACCATCTTGATTAATTTGGAGAACTTTTAAACTGTAAACCACTTCAGTTTGGGGCCTGTTAAAGTGAGTCTTTTTTTGTTGCTGCAACAAAGGACTAGTTTTTCTTTCGATTGATGTAAAGAAAAAATTTTTGGTTAAATTTTTTAGCGTTCCATTGTACTGAATAATTCAAACAACCAAATGACTCACAATACAAAAAAGGGTATAAAATGTAATGTGTAACAACACGGACATAACTTTCTGAAATATGGAATTAAACTTATATTTGAGAGCGATTGTGAAATTTGTTCGGAAAAATGAAAGTCGATCTTGAATCAAAGCTTTGGAATATGAGCGAGAAAAATAGATTTCTCAAGGCAATTCTTCACCGTCTCTTATCGTTATTTTACATATTTTTTTTAACAACATTCAATCTCAGATTTCCTTTCAAGACTTTTTACCTTGCCCATTTTTCCATTTTTTTTTTCATTATTTTCCAATTCATTCTGCCTTTCTCTTCTCATATTCTCTTTGATAGTCTTTATTTCCGTTACTCCCATATTGTTCTTTCTTGCTTTCTTTCTTTTCCTGCATATTCGATAGTTTTCATCTATCTATCTATCTATCTATCTATCTATCTATCTATCTATCTATCTATCTATCTATCTATCTAATATCTCTCCATTATCTAATTCTCATAAGATCTATCCATCTATGTAATATCTCATTATATATTTCTCATCATATCTATCTATCTATCTATCTATCTATCTATCTATCTATCTATCTATCTATCTATCTATCTATCTAATTTTCCTACCTTATCTATCTATCTATCTATCTATCTATCTATCTATCTATCTAATTTTCCTACCTCATCTATCTATCTATCTATCTATCTATCTATCTATCTATCTATCTATCTATCTATCCAATTCTCTTCAGATCTATCTATCTTCATTATCCAATTCTCATCATATTTAAATCTATCTATCTGATTCTTTTCATATCTATCTATCTATCTATCTATCTATCTATCTATCTATCTATATATATATATTTTTACTTTAGATCACCTAATACAAGCGTCAATAGCAACTCAAGGTAGTTGTTTACTAAATGATATTGTAATGGCATAGAGGGAAGAGGGAGAAGAAAGTGGTTCCATGTTATTAGGATATGTAGAATATATTTCATTTGATCTTAGACTTGAAGAACTCAAGATTTTATTGATCAAGGTGAGTCCACTTGTGTGTCTGTTCCACAAAGTAACAGCTCTAGAGAAGAAGTTGTCTTCGTGGAACTTTCTCCTTACCAAATTAATACGAAAAGAATAAGGATGATTTGACGCCGTCTACGTATCTTGGCGGGTCCTAGATGTGAAGGTCTGAACTGTTGAAACGAATGTCGCTCCTTTGAATATTTGCTGCAGTAACAGCGATATATTAATGAGAGGCTACTAACATTTCACGTGTGGGATAGGGATTGCAGTTTGGATAATAATTAATCACCCACGACGCTGCGTAATCACTTTTGAACTCTGTCAAGGCTGGACCGTGTGGACTGGCCAGCACTAGCCCAGATATGGCAGCAATACACCGTTAGGTATTTTTCTGGAGCGATACAAGGAACCGGCTCTTCTTTGTGTATCTTTAGCGATGACTCGAACATATGAGTTCCATTTGAGGTCTGGAGTGACCTTTAGACCTCTTCCGGTTTCTTGATTTTCAATCAACTTTGATGTTCAAAAATTTAAATGCAATGACAATCGTTATCCTGTGTCATGTTCTTTTATTCTCCTCTCTCTGTAATAATAGTTTTTTTCATATTCTCTAGCACTAAGTAACCTCTTGAGCCCTCTTGCTTTGCTTGGGGTGAAATGATTAAAAAAACTAATGCGATCGCACTCGTGCTGTATTTATTATCAAACGTTTCACTGACACTATGCTTGATAATAATTAAGACATCAGCGGTTGGCCTCGAGGAACGAAAATCAAAGTGTCGCACAGGAGAGGTTGTTTCTGTTGAGGTGATCAACAACTTTCTTGCTGATAATAGCTTAAAATTTTGTTGATAATATTAAAGTGGCTGATCTGGTGATATTGGGAAGGTAACGAGAACTCATCCACATTTTTGTAAACAGGACATACACTTGACACCGTCCATGGGTTTTGGAAAAAATGTCTCCTTCATGCACCGGTTAAATAGCCTTGCCTTGATTGGAGATAGTTCTGGAGCGTGGTTCTTGAGAACAACTGTCTCTATGTGCCGTGTCCCGTCAGGTCGTAAGGCGATCATGGCTCTCCATAATTCCCTGTCCTTGCAGCTCTAAATAAATTCTCTCTTTTCGTTATTTCTAAACACTGTTCCGCCATCCAATTTCTCAAGCTCGTCAAGTATATTATATTGAATATACTGAATATATATATATATATATATATATATATATATATATATATATATATATAATTTTAATTTTTTTTTTTTAAACAGTAAATGCTACAAAATGTGTTTTTTTTACTCCATCTGTTCTGTCTTTTATTTGTATATATATATATATATATATATATATATATATATATATATATATATATATAAACAAGTATAGGTTGGTGTATACGGAATAAATTCCAGTAACCCAAAAATACTATTCTTAAAGAGTGCTTTATACAGAGTAGAACAAATATAATTTTATTCGAAAATTCTAACATAAATATGCTTTTATTATAACATTTGTCATAATTTTCGAATAAATTATATATATATATATATATATATATATATATATATATATATATGTGTGAAAATATATAGAAAATAGGAAGAAACTGGTTAGGTAAATAATCCAAAGTCCCTTAGTATTTTAGTTATTATTTTTAAAAAATAGTGCTCGATACAAAAGTAGAGCATAAATATAATTATTTATTTAAAAATATGATTCCAAAACGCTACATAAGAAGTCTCATGTTTCAAAACAAGAGCCAAAAACTTCAATATAATTATTTAAATTAAATTGAGTTAAAATAAGCTCTGTTCCATCTTCTAGCGAAATTTTTTTTGGAATATATATATATATATATATATATATATATATATATATATTACATAAAATAGAAATCCAAGATTAGCTCATTCGAATAGCTATTTCAGCCTAC